GGATAAGTGTAACACCCTGATTTTCACAAATTATACGAAGGCTCAAAGCCCAATAAGGGTGATTTAGTAGCCCAGAACGGGTCGTTCCCAAACTGGAACGGATCGTTCCAAACTACTAAAAAGACCTATTTTTGGTAGCCTAGAACGGGTCGTTCCCAAACTGGAATGCGGCGTTCCAAACCACCAAAATGGCCTAAAACTGTAGTTGAGAATGAGACATTCCAAACATGGCCGTTATGTGTTAAAACGCAACCCTAGAATGGGCTGTTCTGGTTTAAGAACGGATCGCTCTAGATATGAATTTTACACATGACAAATGAGTCCAGAACGGGCCTTTATGGATTTGAAATGGGTCGTTCTGGCTGTGACACCCTCTACCCCATTATTAATATACAACAAAAGCTCCTGGTCGAGGCCTTTTCTTTTCCTCCAGTTTTGATCTGCAACTATCGGCTTTTAGTGACTCTGATTGGGCATCTTGCCCAGATTCAAGGAAATCTATCACCGGATTCTCTATCTTCTTTGGCTCGATACTGAATTAGAGTAATATCTGTCTGTTACAAGATGAACAATAGAAAAGAAATAAATAACAGAAAAATGGAACCCTTTTTCTGAGGAAGAACCAGTTTCTTTATTCAGCCCCATCAAATATTCCTTCTAACAAATTCGTTCATACCTCTCTTGACCCCTGCCCCCCACCTTCCCTCTATATAGAATTTTTTTCATCTCCCTCCATACATCACTTGTCACCTGTCCTTTATGTTATACCCCCTTGTAATTCCTTCCTCTCCCTCTAATTCCCATCCTACTCTTACCACTTCTCTTTATTTGTTAGCTCCTAATTGCAGGACCAATAAGTCCAACAATGGGTGACCCATCAGCACCTTATTGTGTGGATTATGGAATTGTAGCCATATTGTGCATTATTTACAAGTAAAACCTAGCATTACCACAATCATGTTGTCTGTTCATATAATACAGATTCAACAAAGTTCATCGTTTACCTTGATTGTTGACTGCATAACATAATTGTCTCTTTTATCCAAACTTAGGGTTGGCTATGTAATGATTTGCAATACAGCATAACATAGGCAGAGTTAATTCTGAATTTTTTAATCTTTAGTAAAATGGTGTCAAGCGAAGGTAACTCTTCTCCCCATTAATTTAAATCAGTTTTATAGTTAAGAGCTTCATTTTAAAAGAGAACATTGTGTTTCATTACATAAGAGTATCAAAGGGTTGATTATTTATAAACTTCGCTGACTCCTGAAATCAGCTAACAGATCCTTTCATATCCAAACTTTGCTAATCATACCATCACACAGCAATGAGTAGAATAAAAGAAGAGTTATACCATTCAGAAAGCAATTTTCTACTTTCTATAACATTACCTTTTCACTCTATCTTTCTGTTACATAATTCATTTCATTCCTCACTTCTCTCATTTTCTTATCTCTCATGATTATTAAAATTTTTTAGGAATTTTTTGCATAAAAATAATTTCTCAAAAGAATAATCACTTGGGCAGATTTTGAGTTTTCAAACTTGAGAGTGCTGCGCACTTAAAGAAGTATGAGGCAAACACAAACAGAAGCACTAGCACTTCAACGTAGTAGCCATACCATGTATCTGTGGACTTCGGCTAAATTTTACTTTTTTTTTTTATAAAAAAAAACCAATATACTAGTAGATGGGAATACCACTGTAATTAGAGTAATGACATTTTACAGGAATTCATGTTAACTTTTAAAACATTGATTTTTCTCTTTTTATTTAAAAATTGTGTTTTTATGTTGATTATATTTGATTTTGTTGTGTCATGTCCTATAACTTTTAAATTAGTCGTGTTTAGTATCATATCATATCATCATATCCACGTTCTGTGCTGTATCCATGCCTTTTGGCAAACACATTTTAATGAAGGTCATAGCCATAAAACTGAGTTACAATATGGTAAAATGATGTGTGTACAAACATTGTATTCTGGATGGATACGGAGTTTTTCTTATGGAGAATCTTGAGAGCTCCTGCTACACTGAAGCCTCAAAGACTAAATATAAAATAACAATCACATTTATTCATGACTCTAAATACATTACCCTTCAAAGGAAAGGAATATTTAATGGCTCAAGCTTATTAATATTAGGCTCCTTATTAACATAAATATGTTCCCTTTTGGTGCCAACCTGGATAGACCTTGAGAAAACAAGTTGAAAATGGTATAATATTATTAATTATTAATTGTATCTTGAAACTTGAAAGTTGTGAATATTATGTTGGGGCTAAAATGGGATGGGGAAACCTGAAGGTTTGGCACAAGCAAAGCTTGGTTTCAACTCATTCAAGTTTCAGTGATGTACTGTTGCTGGCGTAGTTCATGATCCATTTCATTACATTTGCTAATCACCACATGTCATCACATTCTTGATGACGAGATTCAGAACTCTGGATACCGTGGTTTTCTTAATGCACTTGCATTATCATTTTAAGTGGCACAATCTAACCACATCATGTACCGAATCTCGTATCATATCATGTCATTAAATTAAACACTTCATTTATTTTCAATAAAATTCAGACAATTTAAGCAAATGAAGAAAAGTTGCTTAGTTTTGCTTAGCTTAGTGATACCATTGTTACAGTTATAATGTATAGAATCATATTTTGTTATTGAAGTGCATTCATGGACTTGTCTTCCTTTTTGCAGGCTCATATGTGACTCATGAAACAAACCACTTTGTTTATTTCTATTTGGATCAGAAAGCGGTTTTACTATTTAAATCTGGCTAACGGCTAGCAAAGAAGTCAACAGCAATGGAATTGTCTTGTGATTATGCTGCTATATTCACTCCTCCATGTATTAATTTCACTGGCACGCAAACTCTTTTCAGGACATTCTTGTGCTTGTATATTTGATGTCATGTAAACTAGTTCTCAGTTTGGTTATGAATCTAAGTATTACCTCATCTCGAAAATTAGTTCTTTTTCCCCCTCTTCTTAGGAGAGTTTATTTTTTATTTATTTATTTTATTACTATTATTATTATTATAAAAAAAAGCTTTCTGAAGCGTGCCTTAAATTTTTTTGATCTGTTTGCTTTCGGAGATATTCCTATTTTTATTGCTTATTTTTATTTTTTTAAATCATTTAAAATTCTTCACATTTTAAAGAAAAATGTGGTTTCAGTTATTATTTGTAGCCGTTGTCTTATGGAAGGTGAGGATGGCATCCATTGTTTGAGAGATTTTTTCTCTTATCATCATGATTGTTAGAGAGATTGTCTTTGCACGGAGGATCTTGGACGTTAAGTACACTTTATCATGTCACCATATTCGTAATTGGATCCTTAATTTTATCAAGGTTGAGTGTCAATGATTTGACCCCGCTCTTTGGCATCTACGGATGGATCAAAAGTGCCACACATGGAAGGAATTGTTTGACATGTCACTTTATTAACATCATGGATAGAGCGAAAATAATGTATATAGAGGATAAATTTTATTTTAAATTAGTTTTTAAGCATGAGTTAAATTTAAAATTTAAGATTTTGTTAAGTCTATATTAGGTGTTGGTATTAGCTTATCAAATTATTGGTTACCAAGTGATTATTAGATTATTTATAAATATTTAGCCTTGTAAATTTTAACATGAGATTTTCAATTTAAGGTTTAAGAAAGTGTATTAAAGATTTCACATTAACTAGTGTTATGATTAAAATAATGTATATGAGTAATGAATAATTGTCATATTTTAAACTAATTTTTTAAAATGAGAGAAATTCAAACTTAAATTCTAAGAACATATGGGAGTTGTTTTCTTGATACCTAAAAGAATTTTAAGATGCAATATTTGCACCATTGAAGAGAAATTATGTGGGTTCCAATTATAAAATGAGTTGCTTCTTTCAAGAATCATTTTTTTTTTATATTGTGGGGTTATGCTTAAATATTTTTTGGTCTATAGTAAAAGATTAAAAGGATACGACCAAGATTAAGTGGGTGTTTGCTTTTCATTTTGAAACGCAATTCTTTCGTCTCTCTCCACGTTTACATACGAATTTACGTAAAAGCAGCTATTCATTGCTTCAAGTTGAACGTGAAAAACCACGTTAAAACGCGGATGCAAACATACGGTAAATTTCGTGAAAAATTTGTGTTCAAGTATTGAGAATCATTAAAAACAACTTTATAAAATGAAGCATTTAATAAATCAAGATTAAGTACTTACATATTCAAATGTCTTAAACATGTGACTAGTTTGTTGTCCCAAATTTCCTTAAATAATATTTTGTTATTTGATTCAATTTTTAAAAAAGGAGAGGAGGAGAATGAGGAAGAGTAAAACTAAAATCTCTCCTCATCTAAATTTTGCTCTCCTTCAATATTAGAGATTTAGAGGAGAGGAAAGTAAATTTAAAATATTTTAATTATATTGTTTAAAATATTTTTATTTATATTTTTTAATTTAAAATTATAAAGATACGTAAGTAAAATAATTGAACCAGGTAAAAAAAAACATCTATCTCTCTTCTTCTTAATCAAACAGAAAATTTTAATTTATCTCCTCCCTTCTTTAAAACTTCACCCTTCTCTTCACCTCTTTTAAATCAAACAAAGGCTTAAACATTGATGTTAGAATGCACGTAAGGAGCAAATATGTCTTCAACCTAAATAATTTAATAATTATCTAGCCGTGCATGATAGAGTGAGAAGAGAATCCCCTCTCAGTTCCTTTACTCCATAATTATCAATAATAGTAAGGACTATACATGACAACTGACAAGGGTGTCAAAAGACAGAAAACAAAGTCGACGTTCACAAATCACAACAGCCAATGGTCCACCCAATTTGTGTCGTGCAAGTATTCTCAGCCATAGTCCTTTATGCCTTTAACGGATTCCTCACACTTAATTACGTATTTATCAAACTCCCACTACTTTATTTTCTCAAAATCAAATTCAAAAGTATTTCTTCCATTTCCATTAAAATAAAATAAAAACATATTCTCCAAAACAGTGCCTATGCCTACTACGGTGGGCCTCATTGCCAAACTCGGAACCATTCCCAATTTCCCCCGATTCAGAGTGTGTGGTGTTGGTGTTGCAACACTTGCACCCAACCACTGCCACTTTTCTTTCACCATTTCCCACCTTAGCAACTTCAACACTACAACCCCCACCTCTTAACAAACATCATCATAACTCATTCAGAGAGAGAAAGAAACAAAAAAATGAACCAAGACGCCAAAAAAAACATTGCTGGGCCTCTAACGGCGAGACCCGACTCCGATGACCGGAAACCTTTACCGTTGCCGTCAACGGCGCCGCCTGTCCCCCCGAAGAAGGTCATCATCAAGAGCGCCGACATGATCTCCGACATGCAGAAGGAGGCCGTTGATATCGCCGTCGCCGTTAGTTTTTTTATCCTCTTTTTTTCCTTTGTTGCAGGCTTGCTCGTTTTGGATTCTGTTTCTGGGTTTTGTTCTGCTTCCTGTGTTGTGTCGTAAAGGCTTCACCTTTTTGCTGATGAATCAGGCGTTTGAGAAGTACAATGTGGAGAAAGATGTTGCTGAGCAGATAAAAAAGGAGTTCGATAAAAGGCATGGCCCCACGTGGCATTGCATCGTTGGTCGTAATTTTGGTAAATCCTTTTCTTCTTTTCTTGCACTTGTGAATGATTTTGGGAATTGGGTTTACTCGGATTTGTGGTTTATGTGATGTGATTCTTCTCTGGTGGAATTTGAGTAGATCTAAGGTTATGTTGGCTGGTCCTGGTTCATGGTTTGAATTTAGAAGTGGGCTGAAAACTAGGTTGTTGGCTGCATATGGTTATGGATTTAGATTTAGAGGCATTCTGGAAATCTCTACTCTCCAGGGGGAAATTTTGAGCTGAATGGTACATGGATATGTAGTTTAGTTGGTGTGGTTTGTGTTGATGAATCATCCTTACTTTTGTACTGTGGTGACAGACATTTTATTCCACTATGCCCTGAACTCTGCTCTTTGACTGTACCACCTGGGCTGCCAAGGATTATTTTTTCCCTTCTTTGTTGGTTTAAAAGTCTTTACTTTGGTTACTGGAGGAGAAACGGATGAATGTAACATCAACTACTTACATGTTAATATTTTATGCTAGTATCCTCGAATTACCTTGGCTACTCAAATGTGAACTTGATATGTGGAGAGCTTGTCATATTGGATTAAATATTCTTCACTGATGTTCTGTATCCTTATATAAGTAAATACGGTTGTTGCTTAGATTAATACTGAGCTAATTACTGTAGGGTGTGCTGAATTTTTAAGTTATATCTAGTTGGAGACTAGGAATTCAGGTTTGATCATTGCTGGATGAGCTGTTTTGCTGTGAATGAAGGGGCCGTTTCTATTTAGTCCATCCTCTTCCTGACAATAGGTGTCTGTCTTTCATATTTTGTGGACATCTCAGTGTCAGTTCTTCATCCTGAAAGCTTAAGAACATTTTGGAGATAAAAAAGTATTTAGTATTTACAATGGATGCTCCTTCTTGAGTCTTGGATATTATCTAGTGTCATTAATATTTCAAGCATCATTTGATGTCCATAATCTTAGGGGCTTTTACTTGAATATGTTGTGTGAGTGCACAGTAATATGATTCAAGTTGAAGTTCATGAAACTTGTAATATTTATTTTAAAATCTAGTAAAGTTGTTAATCTGAGTATAATAAAGCTTTAAGGTTTTTGAGTATGTCAATGGATTTTGTCTCTTTGTGATGTTCTGCTTTTCAAACTTTTAGAGATATTCATTAGTTGATACTTGAAATTAATATTCAAGCAGAATGAAGAGTTCTTTCATTCATGATTATCTTTTCCATGTTTTCACCCTTCTCTGTCAAGAAAATATGCATGTTAGATGATAACCTCCATAAGCAGTTAGTTATGATAGGTTAGTTAGTTAATTAGGGGTTATGTTGAGATTCAAGGTCAGCTAATAGGACTTTGTGATAGTGAGTGATTATGTGAAAAAGGAATTCAATTTTGAATCTTTCACAATAAAAACCACTTCCTACTAGGTTGAGTTGGTTATATATATGGACCAAGCGATATCATTTTGTCATGTCAAAAACCAAGTCTTCGGAGATGGCAGTGTTCATAAAATTGATCTAATCCATTGCAATATCTTATACTTAACTGAAAAATCGATATACCTTCTTTCCCTTAACAAGTGCTGCTTCTACTTTCTCCCTAATATATTCATTTATGGTCTTATCTACTCGTGTAATTCCATTCATCTTACACATCATCACCACCTCTACAATACTTAGCTTATGCTCTTGGTACTTCATTGTCCAACATCAATCACCATAAAACATTGTTAATCATATTACTTCAAAGTGAAACTTACCTTTAAGCTTGAGTGATAACTTCAAATCACAAGAAATTTACATCTCCCTCTAACTCTTCATACTTTGTATGATAGACTCAAGTGACCTAAACTTTTTGCCCTGTTGTATGCATTATGGAATTGTTGCTATATTTGCATTATTCATAAGTTAAAACTTAGCATTAACGTAATCATGTTGTCTATCCATATAATACAGGTTCAGTAAAGTTCCTTGTTTACTAATGACTGTTGAGTGCATAGCATAACTTCCTTAGTTAATTCTGACTAGCTATGTAATGATTTGGAATAAAGCACAACATAAGCAGAGTTAATTCTGAATTTTTTAACTTCTTTAGTAAAATGGTGTCTAAACACACTGCACTCAATGGTAAACGAATGTTATTCTTCTCCCATGATTTTTTAACTTTAAATATCTGCATAGGTGATTCTTCTCCCATCATGTTAAATCAGTTTTATGGTTAAGAACCACATTTAAAGAGAGAACATTGTGTTTCAATACATGGGAGCATTAAAGGGTTGAAATATTTATGAAATTTCCGGACTTCCCAAGTTCAGCTAACAGGTCCTTTCATAATACCAAGCTTTTATCAAGCTTAAATTGCTACTCATGCTATTGCTCGGTCAAACATAGTCTCTTATACTATTCATCAATAATTTTCTACAACATTACTTCTTCACTCTATCTCCATCACATCACTCATCTTATCCTACACTTCTCTATTTTATTTTCTTGTCTCATTAAAAAATTGTCGGAATTTGTATAAAAATTACTCAAAGAAGAACCACCTCACGTAGGCAGATTTTGAGTTTTCAAACTTAACAGCACCTTGCACGCACAGAAAACACGAGACAAATACACATGCAAAAGGAAGCGCAAACACTTGAAAATAGTAGCCATACCTGTGTCAGATATGTATCTGTGGACACTTAATAAAGACTTAGGATAATCCTAGTTTCATTTACTTTTTTTATTTTTTATTTTTTACACCAATATAGATGGGAGTACCACTATAAATAGATTAATGATAACATTTTGCAGTGACTCATGTCAACTCTTAAAATATTGAATTTCTCTTTTGATTTAAAAATTGTGTTTTTATGTTAATTTTATACTAATTTTATATGTTGTACTATGTGTCATGTTCCATAATTTTGAAATTTGTCATGTTTAATAATATATCATGTATTCATTCTCTGTGTTGTACACATGCTGTGGGGCAAAAAACGTTTTAATGTAGGTTATAACCATTAAACTGAGTTACAATATGGTACATTGATATGCTTGTTAAGAAGTTAATTTTCTTGTCATTGACTAAATGATTCTGGTTGTTTCGTTTGCGATTATGGTTACAAGATGTCTGGATCTGGACAGCCAAAACAGTGGAAATTGAAACTTTTGCCATTGAAATTTATGAATATTAGTTGGGGCTAAAACAGGATAGGGAAACCACAATGATTAGCGCAAGCAAGGCTTGGTTTCAAATCAAGTTTCAGTGATGCACTGTTACTGGCTGAGTTTATCATCTACTTTGTTACATTTTCTTGTCACCACATCTCATCATATTCTTGATGATGAGATCCAGAATTCTGGACTACCGTTATCATTTAATGGGTAACCCCCATCATGTACTAAATCTAGTATCACATTATGGCTATGTTCGAGTAAACTTCTCTTTAAATACTTTTAAGAGAGAAAGATAAGAAGGAAAAATGAAATAAACCTTTTTAGAAGCTAAAATTAGTTTATGTATAAATTAATTTGTAGAAGCTCTGTTATTAATTTTTCCAAAATCTTATTTTTAACTAATGTATATGTTAGTTTTAGTTTATGGAAAAATTTATTTTAATTTTTCTTATTATTTTTTAAAAAAGTGTTTTTGAAAAATTTTATCCAAATAATTCTTATGTCATTAAACACTATTTATTTTCTTTTTCAATAAAATTAAGACAATTAAAGCAAATAAGGACAACCTGGCCTAGTGATTGGGGGATTGAGTAGTTTGCAATAAGTTCTAAGTTCTAATCTTGTTGTTGTTGCTACTATTCTACACAGAAAAAACAAATGAGGACAAAATTTCTTGTTCTTGCTTTTCTTAGTTATACTCGTTAGTATTGCAATGTTCAGAATGAGATAGTTTATTATTGAAGTGTATTCATGGACTTGTCTTGCTTTTTGCAGGCTCCTATGTGACTCATGAAACAAACCACTTTGTTTATTTCTATTTGGATCAGAAAGCGGTTTTACTATTTAAATCTGGGTAGCCTTATCGTGGTAGCAAAGAAATTGAGAGCAATGGGAATTGTCTTGTGATTATGCTGCTGTATACAGTCCTCCAATTATTAATTCTACCGGCATGCATGCAAACTATTTGCAGGACATTCTTGTGCTTGTATATTTACTGCCGTGTAAACTAGTTCTCGGTTTGGATATGAATCTACCAAGTATTACCTTATCTTGAAACTACAGGTGTTTTCGGATAGTAGTTTTCTTGTTCATCCATACTATTTAAAGCTGAAAATCTTTTCATTTGGTTACTATTTTATTTAATAAACCTAATAAAGGAATATGAAAACCAAATAGTAAATGCTTCCGATTAAAATTACGTTTTTACTAGGATGCTTTTACTATGTCAACCGTGTAAAAGATCTACCTTCATCAGTTTGTGATTAGTTAAAATTCCAACTCGAGGACCTTTATTTGAAAAAGTAAGCATGGTCAAGCAGTCCAGTTAGTTGGAATGAAATTTCCTTACCAAAGAATGCTGAACAGTAGTGGATTCCTAAAGTAGTGGATTCCTAAGAAAATAAAGTTCTTTATTATTATCTTCCACAATTCTTTGCATGCAATAGAACTCATTGTGAATTTTTAATGTGTTTTTCATGAATACTGCGTAAGATTCAATACTTTTTTATATTTATTTTACTCTAGTGAAAAAACATAACTTGGATTCTTATTTAACGTAATGTAGGTTGCACAATAGATTCACTCTTCTTCTTTTGTTATAGAATCCAGTTCCTGAAGATTCTTAATAAGAATAGTTCTTATAATGTGGATAACATGCCAGAATACTCCAGTGGTAAAATTTATAAAAATTAATTCTTATATTTAAAAACACAAATCAGAACTCTTATTGGAGATGACCTAATTTTGTACCCACCTACTAAACTTGGTTTTTAACAGTATCTGTAGTTGTTGTCTTATATAAGATGAGGATGACAGATGCTATCAATTTGTGTTCAGGCATTGGCCCAATCTGAATAGCCTATCAATGGAGTTTGACTTGACTTGAAAAATGATGATCCTAATGGAAGCAAGATTTTTAGTTTAATCTGATTGGCTCGGTGGGTCAAGCAGACTTAACCATATTGATCGACGAATATAATATAATAAAAATAAGTAATATATAATTATTATAATTTTTTAAAAAAATAAAAGATAAAAATTTAAAAATAATTGGGGTTGTTTTGCTTTTTCAAAAGGCACGTGGGTGTTTCTTTAAAAAGTTGGGCAGGACATGTATTTTGTGAAAATATATGACCATATCTACAAAACAGGAGCTATTTACAGAGCAAAATAACATGCTACTTTATAAAAAAAAATATAAAAACTAAATTATTAAAATATATAAACAACAAAAATATGTTTACGAAATAAGACTTTATATATATATATAGAGAGAGAGAAACATAGATTATTTTGCTTTTTTAAAAAGGCTCATAAAGGAACATGAATTGATTTTTAATAAAGGAACAATATTGTCGAATGTTAATTATTGTAATTCACTTTTCCGAATTTGGCAATCAACATAAGCTATTTTTTTATTTGCCTTAATTTTTAAAGTTTTCTTTTTAAATTTTTTTTTTAATTTAGGTCTATTTTGGTGCAATGACATGATATAGTGTCAGACTAGGCAAAAAAAATAGTATTCCATATAAAATATAGGTCAATTTGGCATGACCTGATTAAATGAATTGGCCCGTGTAGGCCATAATGGTCCGACCCATCTTGTTTGACAACCATTATTTAGAGATTTTGTTTTTGCACATAACATTTGGAACGTTGTGTATACTTTATAGTGTCACAAATAGAGATCACAAAAAAGATCTCTATACACAAATATCTACGCGTAAAATTTATTATAGATTGAAAACTGATAATTAAATAGATATTCATCTATTAATAGGGTGAAAACAAGTTGTAAAATATCTATCATAACGTCCTTAACATGTATAACCGATAATAATATATTTTTTTTATCATATTGTGATTACGACGTTGATCCACAAATATAATAATAGCTAAATTATAGTATTTGTTTTAAAACAATTAATATAAACCATTAAATAACGTGGATACTATGTGTGTATGATATCATCAAATAACTATATACCGAAAAGCAAACATAATACATCCATCGGTATTCTACAACCTAAAAACAACAAAAATTATATAATCAGTGTTTGGTAAAAATTTAACTCATGTGCTCCAAGTAATGGGCAATAAACTAAAAAACAAAGTCAATCTTAATATTGACTACAAAAGGAATAGAAACCAAACCAACACTCTAAGAGTTATTGCAAAAAGTTTATCCTCTGTCCACTAGTTTCCAGATGATATATTGGAATATTCTGAATACTAGGATCTTCCTCTGGTGTACTCAGATAAGGAGTAAGGTCCCATTTAACTTGCTAACGATGGATTATTGCTCAATGAAGAACAAAAGGATTGGTGATAGTCCTAGACCTAGGACATGGTGTCATTGAGGATAGGGGTGTCACCCTCCACCCATCCCCATCATGAAGCTCAAATTCAATGACCGTAGTATGTAGGAGATTTATTATCTAAAATAAAATAAATAAGACACACACAAAAAAACAAAGTCAAGGAGTGAAGTTCTAACTCAAGGCATCAATATGGTAATAAACATACACGAGGCTTAATTTAAGAGACAATCACAAAGATGTAGACATATTAAGTGAATTAGGCTAGTCTTATGTAGCGATAGTATGTCATTACAATACAATGTGTTCCTCACACACCCTCACACACAAAACATCACAATGACTCAGAGAGATCGTATAAATAAGAAAAATTATAATCATTTATCAGCTTTCTCTTTCATTTCATTTCACTTTGGCCACCCCTCCCTATTGATCCCTTTGAAATTTTTTCAAGATAAAATACATTTATAATACTAAATATATGATTATATTAAAATATTGATTAGAAGATGATACATATTCTTTATTGAGGATGATTCCATAATTTAAAAGAATAATAGTCATAAGTTAGATGAATAAGATGACGTATTTAATAATTATAATTTAATATTTATTTAAATTTATTATTAAAAAAATTCCAGCCCCCCTTCGGTAGGGTTCAGGATCTGTCCATGTAAATTTTCTCTATTTTCTTTGTTCCATTTTTATAATGCCACCTATCATATATTTGCCATTTTCTCAATCTCTTTTATTTTCTATCTCTCCTTTATTTATCATAAACCCACCTCATTTTGGAGTAGACATTGATTGGTACCTAGTAATAAATAAATCTAGCGAAATATAAAGATAAAAAAGAGAAACGTGTACATAATCATATATACACACTCATTCTAATTATTTGATGATCGCTTGCATATACTGATTAAAATATGAAAATCCTTGTAAGAGAAACGTGTACGTAATCATATATCTTTATGTTGCAGTAGGTAGTTATATTTTCTGTAATTAGAGTTTTATATAAGACTTTCTTATTCAACAATAAAATTGAATCTTTCTCAGTAAAAATTTTAATATGGTATCAGTTTAAAATATCTTTTTTCTTCTTCTTCTCTTTTTATTTCATCATCTCCTTCTTTTCTTTTTTTTCTTGTTCATTTCACAACCATGACAACCATTAACATTTCTAGCAAGTACTGCAGACATCCCAATGAAAATCCATCAATCATTCTTGTTTCCTCTGTTCTTGATGAACCTAATTATTATAGCTAGTCCCGCTTAATGACCATGGCATTAGAGATGAAAAATAAAGCATCTTTTGTAGATGACACTCTCAAGAAACCTATTTCAGATGATCTCAAATTTTTAATGTAGAAACGCTGCAATACACTTGTTCTTTCATGGCTCATCCATCCGGTTTCCCCATAAATTGCTCATAGTATTATTTACATTAATATTGCATTTGATGCATGGAAAGAACTCAAGCAATAGTTTTCTTAAGGTGACCATGTTCGAATATCCCAACTTTTAATTGATATTCATTCTCTCAAACAAGGAGACTCCTTTGTTACCACTTAGTTCACCAAATACAAGATTCTTTGGGAAGAATATTGTAACTTCTGGCCACTCACTCCATGCAATTTTGATTCTTGCAAAACACATAAAATTGTCAAAGAATACAGGGTCAATGATTCTATTTTGTGCTTCCTTCAAGGGCTTAATGATAATTACTCTATTGTTCAATCCCATATATTGCTTCTTGATCCCTTACCTTCTATTACCAAGGTTTTTTCAATGGTAGTCCAACAAGAACACCGATTAAATATTGGAATATTACCTGAACCACCAACCATGTTGATCTCACTCTTGAAGCTTCAAGTCAGCATCCTGCTCAACAACAACAACATATTCTTGCACCTTCCACTATAGATGAAAACCCTCAAACAATTCTTCCCCTTTGGGTTTCCATTAGACAAAGACATCCTCCCAACTATCTACGAGACTATCATTGTAATATAGTAAGTCATCATGTCCCTTTAACTCATTCTACTTGTGTTCCTCATAGCTTATCTGCTTTTCTTTCTTACAATCGTCTGTCTCCTTCTTATAAAACATTGGTCTTATCTTTGACTTCCTTTGCTGAACCTCAATCCTATAACCAAGCCATTTGACATGCAAGTTGGAAAGATGCCATGGATAAAGAAATTGTAGCTCTTGAACAAAATCATTCTTGGATTTTAACTGACTTGCCTCAAGGAAAACACCTTATTGGTTGCAAATGGATTTATAAAATTAAACATAAGGCTGGTGGTTCTATTGAAAGGTATAAAGCCCGACTTGTTGCCAAGGGATACAATCAACAAGTGGGAGTAGATTTCTTTGACACTTTTTCACCTGTTGTTAAGCACACCACAATTAGATTAATCTTAGCCATAGCTGCTGTCAAACAATGGCATCTACATTAATTAGACGTAAATAATGCTTTTCTCCATGGGGACTTGAAAGAAGAGGTCTACATGACTATTCCTCAAGGTTTTAAATCTAAAAAACCAAATCAAGTTTGTAAGCTAACTAAATCTCTTTATGGCATTAAGCAAGCTAGCCGCCAATGGAATCACAAGCTTACTTCTGCCCTTTTTGAAATGGGTTATCAACAGTCAAAATCTGAATATTCTCTATTTGTTAAATTTGTTAATTCACTCATTACTGTTTTGTTAGTCTATGTGGACGATTTAGTTCTTGCAAGTGATGATCTCAATGAAATCAATGCTATCAAGTCAA